TCTACTCACGACGAAGAAGGTGTGATCACCTGCGGCACTTCCGCTGCTCGTAATGAACCATTAGCTGCAAATTGGCAACAACGCAAGCAAGTGAATGGATGGTACATATACATATGTATGCATACACACGCATATACTACAAGTAAAATGCAGTATTGTACGACCATTTATGAATATTAATATATATATGAATATATGAATATGGGTACGCCATGCGGTCGCAGTCGCAGTCTCAGTCTCAGTCGCATCAATGGCCAAGTAGTGTCTAAGTCTATTGCTTTTGCTTTAAGCAATGTTGTTGCTATGGTTGTTGTTGTTGTTGTTTTTCTGTTGTCTGTTCTACTCATATTGCCTCTCAACTGCCTAATATCTAGCCACAGCCCCAAAGCCAAGCCGCAAGCCAGCAAGCACAATAACATTAAAAGAAAAAGAAAAAATGCTTCGGCAAGAAATAATGAAAATGCGCCATGCCCAGCCCAGCTTAGATCACATCTGAAGTCAACGGTCTATAGTCTATAGTATAGTCAGCGAGTAAAGTCTAGCCAGATCTAAACTAGTCGCTACTAGCTTCCAGCAGCAACAACAAAAGCAAGCAGCAGCGCTGCTCAGAGTGCATTGACGTGTTGTTTGCATGTGGCTCTACCCCTCCCCCTACCTCTACTCCTCCTGGTCCTCCCCTGCCGCTGGCCAAAAGCCAAGTTTCGTTTGCTTTTGTTGTTGTTTTTTGCTTTTCTTAGAAAACGACATGCTGAAGAATCGGCGGCGCTGGCTTGCAGAAAACGAGATTTTCCATTTGGCTCGACGAGTACATTGCACTTCGAGTCGCAGATCGCAGCTCTGTCAGTCAAATGTGTAGGCCGGGGGGCGGGCGTTGACAGCAACAGTAACAGCAGCAGCAGCAGCAGCGGCAGCGGCAGCAGTAACAGCTGAGGATCGGTGGCAGGTACGCTGCTGACGCCGCGTCTCTCCGTCCGTCGGTCCGTCCGTTTGGCGTTTGCACGTAGGTTGGCTTGGTCGTTCGTTGTCGTCTTGAAAACTGGGTCAATCGTTGCTTCGCTGTTGTATTTATTTAGCTTTATTGTTGTTGTGGCTTTTGGCATGTTGTATCCGAGGCTGGTTCGACTGGCTTTTTGAGTACGACTTGGGCTATAGCCAGAGCCAGAGCCAGAGCTCGAGCCAGCGACCGAAGAGTGTAAGCTGTAAACTTTTATTGGTTTTTTATTTTTTATTTGCCTATTCCTCTAAGCGGTAGGTGACTAACTGCCTGATTGACTGACTGACTGACTGGCTTGCTGCCTTGCTGCCTGACAGTCTATCTCACGAACTGTCCGACCGCTGTTGGAGTCAAAGAGAGTGATTTAAGGAAAGCAACAGCAGTTGCTTCGAGGCTGACAGAACTTCGGAGAGGCTTGAATGCTGGTAAATGCAAGTTCTCAGCATAACTTCCGTTGCTGCTGTTGTTAAAGTTGTTGTTGTCAACTTAGATGACCTCCCCGTTAACTACGTCCGTTTAAGTGACATAACTGTTTAACGCTCTTTAGCCCACACCGGCCTGGTCTCATTCTAGAGAGAGTAAATCACAAACAGTTGGGGGGAAACACAAAGAAAAACAGATATTCGAGAAACGTGTTTGGCCGCTAAGAAATGTTCTCGACGTCGTGGCAGCTTAAAATGCCGGCCGGCAATTTCCACAAACTGGTTTCTAACTTCCTCTTATACTTGTATTGTTGTTGCTTCGTATGTTCTAAGCGGACTGTGCTTGGTTTTTTTTTTTTTTTCTTTCTTTCTTTTTGAATGGCTAGACCATCCGAGCGCCAAAGATCAGAGCCTGGACGACTTTAATGGCCTTTGGTTCTTGAGAAGTGTAGCATAAGTTTGCGAGTTGGATTTATGAAACGTCTTTCACGTCTTATGTGAAAGATCAGCAGCAGATATAGCCGGTACGGCGCGCGGCATCAGGGCGAGAAGGGCGAGCAACAAGTTTCGTTATGGTGGGACTATTTTATTTCGCACGTAATTACACGTAATATCACGTAAGAAGAGCTGGTTGGTAGAACTAAAAATAAGCATGCAATTAAAAATTGTTACCTGTTCGAAAATTAATGTAGTAAAAAAGTACGAATAAACACAAACATCTTTCAAATTAAAAACATGAAAGTCAGTAAGTGTTTAGTACAAATTAAAAAATGAGATATCTTCATTGTTTTTATTTATGAGTTCTTAAAAGTGTTATATTTACTATTAATTAACGATTTTTCGCCTTACCTTTTCTTTGTTCTCAAGGGAATGTTCATGCATAGCTTAATAGATTAGTTTGCTGACCAAACCTTAAGAATATCTTCAAGTGCTTCAACACCTACAAAAATTCAAATCGTAATAAGTTCAAATTTCAAGTTACCATTCCAACTTCAATTAATAACACATTGAAATAAGTTTTCAATATAAAATTGAAATCCATATCCACACTGATTTATTCGCACTTTTAATAAATAACATTGAATTAGGAAACATTTTCTTTTTATTTGAAGGTAGTTTTTGGCACGTTTCTGTAATGCATATTATACAACTTTCATGTGAAATATTTTCTTTGTACTTGATTATCGGGTATTTAGTAGTTAATGTAATTTAGTTTAATTTAATTTTTATTTATTTACAGTCGAAAGGCATAAATTTGATAAAAATATGGCATCTCTGACGATTCGGAACACAGTTAATGGTTACCACACACATAAGTAGTTGGGTAAAATTATAATTTATTTAATATAATGAGGTAAGACCTAAAAAACAAATTTAATCTTTGGGCGGTGCTTACTAGAATTCCAAAACTTAATTTTAAAACTAATTATGCAATGCGAGGTCTATATAGCTCACGTAACACATAACTTTCTTAAAAACTATTTTTATTTTATTTTAAAAAGTATGCCATTTACTACTTGCAGAAATTTGAAAACAGAAACGTTAAAGATATTTGAAAGCTGTGTGATGGTCACCCAAAGCTCGTTTAAGCAAGTGTTATTTAGTAGTATTCTTTTCATCACATACATGAACCACTTAATGGCGCCATCTGGCGGCGAAACCAAGAAGACTGTTGCATACTTTTCATGCACATATTAAATAAAATTGCGTTGAGCTCGTTGCGATGCGTTTTGTTTTGGAAAAAATGAAAAGTTTGGAAAAAAGAAAACAGCCGAAGCAGAAGGAATTTTAAGTGCAGTTGTGCTGGCACCCGAAACAAACGAGCCAAACATATAATATGAACCGATTCGCTCTCAACACTCCTTGTTGCTCAAAACACAAAAAACAATGAATCAACCATAAGTAAAATACAAGTAATGGACATGATATAATCAAACTTATATGGACACCAGGACACGCAGGTATAAGAGGAAATGAATGGGCGGACACGGCAGCGAAAGCTGTGGACAACACTTCCAACAAAAGAGACATTAACAGTCTCATCAACACGACAAGCAAAATAGGTTTAAAAAGTATCTGGGATGAATGCACTCACCACTACAAGGCAATAAATCTTTCTCAAAAGCCACAATAAACAGAAAACACGCAACTATATACACAAGATTCCGACTTGGACACACAAAACTTACACACAAATGCGTGCTCACCAAATCATCACCGCCACAATGTCCTTACTGCAATGCAAGCACTCTAACTATAGAACATTCCACCAACTATTGCCAATTTATCCTCCACCAATGCGCTTCCTTGAAAATTCCCACGCCAATCCAACTACTCGCAGAGACAAACAATGTAAATATTAATCTATACTAATATTATAAAAGAGGAAAGATTTGATTGTTTGCATTTATACTCTGTACATGAAATGAAGTATATTAGGTTTGCGGGAGCTGAAAAATGTAACAGGAGGCGTGGCAGACCCCACAAAGTATATATATTCTTGATCAGCATGACGAGACGAGTCGATTTAGCCCTGTCTGTCAGTCTAAAGTACATATAAACAATTAATTAATAGATTTAAAAAAAACCCAGACTGAAGGCCTTCGTTGCTCTGTATTTGTATTGTTTTTTGCGTCCTTTGCGACCATCGAGTAATCAAAAATTTATCAAAATATCTATATAATAATTCGTATTAATAGGCACTTTTTTGATACAAAAACTGTTTTAAATCTAGTCCGTGGTCCCACATCTGGCTGTTACAAACACCAATAAAGGTACTCCTAATTACTCGTATCAGTGAAGATTATAAGAACATTATTAAGAACATATTAACAAGTTTATGAAGTTTTTTCAAATCGAATGCTATATGCTATACTAGCAGGTATTGCCCGTCTTAACCCGGCTCAATATAATGTTTCCAATTGTATTTATTTTGTGTGTGCATAACCTACCCATATGTTTTCACCTTAAAGGTTGCCAGTAGGAAGGCATTTAAGGTATTTAAATGAACATTTTCTGTTCTTGACAAAAAATTGTTCAATAGTCCGTTACATTTTTGTTCTTGCCAAACTATTTCGTTAAACGAACATGACCACTATAACTAATATTTTTTAAAGCTAGTTTTCCCCCCTTTGGAGCTAGAATTTTCAAAAAGCCTTTCTTAGTGTGCTCCTACACTATGATGGATACTATGAAAGGATACTTGAGTCCAAATTTAAATTCACATTTGAGTCTTTTCGTGCCATATTGAGTCAATACGGCCACGCACAAACTCGGAATATGAAACACGGCATTCGTGTCAATGCTGTGCAGCGATGAGCCACGATCAAAAACTGTTTTATATATATAGATGTATCTAGCCTTGTACTTATTAACTAAGAGACAACACGACTCATTGCAGGGTACAATTTAAAAACTAGAAATACACTAAACTACTTGTATAAACTAAACTGTGAAACTTGAATTCTGATCCCTAAAGAAATCTAATTAATTTAATAAATTATGTTTATTTAATAAAAACAACATTTTTAAAATTTTAAAACAATTGAATTTTATTTTTCGAAGAAAGTTTTTTTGTATTTTTTTTAGTTGTTTTATGGGTACTTTAACAGCTACTAGAAAATTATGCGCATGGTTAAAAAATTGTGTGCTTCAGTAATTAAAATGCACTGATATTAAAAACATTTGAATTACATGTGAGGGTCGTAAGATTTGTAAGCGATAGGTGGAAATTCTTTGGATGCGCTCATATTATTGCCACAATTAATGGATAGTTTTCATGGCTGCTGTTTCGCCTGTCAGTCAGTCTTTAGGGCAAAATTTGAGGATGCTTCTAGAATTGTGCTGAATTTTATTTCGAATATAAATAAGTATTACGAGTATGTTTTTATAAAAAATGTTTCACAAAAATGTGGGACTTAAATTAGAGATATTTGACATTAGGAGAGTGTGATTGATTAGTCGAAAAATATGTGAAAAGTGCATGAAAAATGGCTGTGAGAAATGCGATAGACGTGCCTTCAAGTGTAAGTGTAGCGTAGATGGAGGGGACAAAGAGATGTAGAGAGAGAGAGAGAGGTGATGTTAAATGAGGATGCATGAGAGAGTATGATTGGATGTAAAAGCGAAAGTGAAAGTGAAAGCTAAGCAATGAAATGAAATTAAATGAAATGAAATGATGTGAGAGCTTTGGAACATTTCCGGTTGTAGTTGTTGTTGTTGTTGCTTAAAGTGTAAAACTACGCTTGACGTTTCCTGTTGTCTGTCTGCCACGGCAGACAATGTGAGTGTGTGCAGTGGTCCTTGTATATATGTAATTGTGTGTGTGTGTGTGTGTTATTTTACGAGCGCTATAGAATGCAGCAATGATTGGCGCACAGCTGCTGTCGCATGCCCCTCAGGAACATGTGCTGTCCACCAAAGGCCAGACGCTCACGCACGCACCTCATTCCTCTGGCCACACCATTAAATACAATCGGGCTCGTTCTCCTCCTGGTTGACGTCCTGCTCGAACTCATCGTCAGCCGTAGCCTCCTGATACTGTTGGTACTCCGAGACCAGATCGTTCATGTTGCTCTCCGCCTCGGTGAACTCCATCTCGTCCATGCCCTCGCCTGTGTACCAATGCAGAAAAGCCTTGCGCCTGAACATGGCTGAGAACTGTTCGGAGATGCGTTTGAAAAGCTCCTGTATAGCGGTGGTGTTGCCAATGAACGTCGATGACATCTTCAGGCCCTTCGGCGGTATATCGCAGACTGCCGTCTAGAAGGGCAGAGAGTCATTAAATAAAGTTTGATTTTATCTTTTTAATATATATATATATATACATGTATGGAGTAATTCTTATTTGGATGATAACTCAGTAAAGCAAGTGTAAGCAAGGAGAGTGAATGGAAAACATAACCAGAGGCAGAAAATACACAAAAGCGAGAACGGCAACACATTAAGGAAAGGTAAGCACTCCGGCGGATGAGAGTGTTCTAGACGACTTATCATCGAATAAGGGATAGCATTTTGTGATAAAATCAAAGACGAAGCATATACATATTTAATATGTGATTAATGGCAGTGAAAAGCTCATAATAAACGTTGCTAAATGGTGCCACAAATGTGAATAATTTCAAAATAAACTAGAGGATTGCTATGTTAAAAAAAGGTGCCTAAAGCATGCAAAGAAAAAAAAAGAATTAGTAGCCAACGACCATTTCTCGGAGTGCACGGAAAGTATTGGTAAAACCCGGTACAACCGTGCTTGGTCAGTGATATCGTTAGTGCAGCATAAAACCTTGTAAGTCCTTGTAAACTCGTTTAAACTAAAGAAAGACTGAAAGTGAACACAACTCCTACAATCCATCAATCAGCTACTGCTATCGGTCCCAGCATGCTTACTATAAAGGTAAATTTACAAATAGTGGCCTTCACCTCATAGTCTTCGAATTAGAAATGTCACTCGATATTGCTTATAGCGTTCCTATTCATAGCAGTCGCATTTTATTGTGTTTTTGGGAGATTTTGGTTGCGGGAAGTGTGATGTAGTGAGAAAGGAGGTGGATGGCAAAGGTTGGGGGTGGGTGGGGGCTCTACCGATAGTTCGTCAACAGAGTCGCCATACAAGGTAGCGTTCCCTGTGCCTTCCAGTACTCCTGAAGGTCAACCAGTTGCAAGACCGTATGAAATGGGAGGCTTATAGCCGAAGCGCGTAATGTGGCTAATCTGAAGAGTTAATTTCCTCCAAATATTATGAAACGATCAGGTTAACTAACTATCAACGCTGTCGAGGTGGGTGTCCCCTAGGAGGTTATTAAGTAAAAACGGAGCTAGTCGGATGCGCCATCGTCAACAAAGTCAGCGAATCATCCTAGACAAGAAGCTGCACTGTATTGATAGTGCCATTTATTGAGGAAGGAAACCCACAATAAGAAGACAATTGTGTAAGAAGGCAATGAGTACCATTTCGCCTATTGGGGATCATAGTATCATCATGGTGGCCAGCGCTATAGAAGTCAACCGTTCCTACCTTACTTCACAAGGTGCAAAGATTGGCAGAATGAAGCATCAGCGGGGCACTTCGCACAGTTAGTAAGGATACTTGCATATCAGAAATAACTCAAGAAAAAGATAAAAGTAGTAAATTTTCTACACTCAAGAATGCAAAGGATTACATTATTAATGTTGGCTTCACGATTAAATGGAGAGTTGGTGGATGGATATACTCCTCGGACCTGAGGATAAAGCACTTCTTTCTTCTTCCCGCGTTTGATTTTAACCTTAACATCTCCAGAATCATCTTTGACTGTCCACACATCCCTCTTGATAAGAAAATAATATTCTTCAGGCTTTTGGAGTGCAACCACATAAGGACAAGGACAATATACATATCCAGACAGCCAAAAATGTCACTTAACTTGGCACTACGAAAAATCATTTCTGCAGAAACTGCATATATGAGAAAGGGAAGCTAAGTGTAGAGCACCTTCTATGTTACTGTCAAGCGACTCAATCATAATAATTTTACAGAGCCCCAAGAAATGGCGGTTGGGGAATAATTTGAATTCATGCCCCACTAGTTGGTTTGCGGACATGTACCGATAACTCGGATGAGATATGGCATTAGAATGGGCCATTTATGGCCCAAGTCGCATTATCGAATTGTTCGAATAGTACGATCATCATTATCAACACTTTATGAGCACATAAGCAGAAGGGCCTAAGCGGTTTCATTGTTAGAATTTTAGTGAACGAATGATGTAGGATTGACTGAAGCAAAATGCATTGATTCCTACCTTCACATTGTTAGGTATCCACTCCACGAAATAGGAGCTGTTCTTGTTCTGCACAGCCAGCATTTGCTCGTCCACCTCCTTCATGGACATGCGACCTCTAAACACTGCTGCGACTGTTAAGTAGCGACCGTGGCGCGGGTCGCAAGCGGCCATCATGTTCTTGGCATCGAACATCTGTTGCGTTAGTTCCGGGACGGTGAGGGCGCGGTACTGCTGCGAGCCGCGGGACGTGAGCGGCGCAAAGCCGGGCATGAAGAAGTGCAGACGCGGGAATGGTACCATGTTCACGGCCAGTTTGCGGAGATCCGCGTTCAGCTGACCGGGAAAACGCAGGCACGTCGTCACTCCAGACATGGTGAGGGAGACGAGATGGTTGAGATCCCCGTAGCTAGGATTAGCCACCTTCAGCGTACGGAAACAGATGTCATACAGGGCTTCGTTGTCGATGCAGTACGTCTCATCTGTGTTCTCCACCAGCTGGTGTATAGAGAGCGTGGCGTTATATGGCTCCACCACAGTGTCGGACACCTTGGGCGATGGCACTACCGAGTAGGTGTTCATGATGCGATCCGGATACTCCTCGCGTATCTTGGAGATGAGCAGTGTGCCCATGCCAGAGCCGGTGCCGCCACCCAGCGAGTGCGTCAGTTGAAAGCCCTTTAAACAACCGGCATTTAGAAATTCTTAAAGGCTTCTTAACTTAGCTTAACTTCACTCACCTGCAGGCAATCGCAGTTCTCGCACTCCTTGCGCACCACATCGAGCACATTGTCCACCAGTTCTGCACCCTCCGTGTAATGACCCTTGGCCCAGTTGTTGCCAGCCCCCGACTGTCCAAACACAAAGTTGTCTGGTCGGAAGAGCTGTCCATAGGGACCAGACCGCACCGATTCCATAGTGCCTGGCTCCAAGTCCAAGAGAATGGCGCGCGGCACATATTTGCCTCCTGACGAGCGCGTCACAGCTGCAAGGTGCATGAATCATGCATTTAGTGGAGCTGCGTGATGGCAATAGATGAGTTGAATCGCTTACCAGATGCTTCATTATAGTAGACACTGACACGTTCTAGCTGCAGATCGCTGTCGCCCACATAAATACCATTGCTGTCAATGCCATGCTCTTCCGAGATGATCTCCCAAAACTGCAAGAATGCAAATTAAATTTGATAATAAGATAATTATGCGCATTATGCCATATAATAAAGGTATTCGTAATGACCCTGTGATATTTTCACCTCTCGTTTTGGGTAAAGCTTGTACTTCATGCTAATATGTAGACCTTCAATTGTTCAGTGAACTGTATACCCATAAAACACGTGGTGTTTTCTTTCCACCAATTTGCTATTATTTCGGGAATTTACAAATGTTTTCTTTATACTTCAAATCAATTAGAACAAAATCAGACAGGGGAAAAAACAAAGAAGATAGGTTTGTCTCGCCCTGCCGATAGAATATATTGCCTACAAATATTTATACATAATTATTTATATTTATACGTATACCATTTTAGTCTTTGGCTGCAGAATAAGAGAGTACTTATAAAAATTTGTTGCATTTACAACATTTGGTAGAAACATAATTTTCAACAATTTATTATTTCAATATATAAATAAATTTGGAAAACTTATTCGGTGTATGAATATTATTATATACAATTTCAGATATTTCTTATGGAGCTTTGGGTAGTTCTTTGGGTTTCCAATGCAACTAATAGTGTACACTTTTATTTGAAAACCTAAAAAAATTCGTTCTCTTTGAATCTGCAGCTGCTTATTTGACTGTTTTTTTTGGATTTTCTCAATCCGATTTCTGCATATCTTGAAAAGAAGTGCAATCTTTGTAATCGTGCTGCAACTGCTTAGGTTCCCCCAGTGCTATATTATTATTAATTACATATTTTCTGAGCATCCAGGTCCTTCTTCCTACTTAGCGAATTGTGTACTTGCTAGTCTGCTGCTCCCATGGAATTAAAAGAGGAATTATTCGCAGTCCGCAGCAAATAGTTGCTAGCTTGCAAGATCTTTTTTGTGAAAAGGAGCCTGCATTTTGATTTGTTCTCTAGAGGGTTCAGGACACATACGCTGACTCTTATATCTTTATCCCCAACTCCAACATTGCATTATTTGATGGCGAGTAGAGTAAAGTCGTTTGTCAAATTGAATAATTGTGCCACCCACTAAACCACCCATCCAGTCAGTTATGTCAGGGTTCATCATGTAGCTCGAGTGACACATTGCCAGCCGCAGAAACCGCCCACAAAAAACTGTAAAAAATTCTCAAATTCCTATGACAATGTGACGATGAAAAGGCGGAGGCCATAAAGCTTGTTGTCGACCCTCTTGTCGTATATTTTTCCAGAGCATCTTCTTTTTTCCTATCTTGTTTTTAGTGCGTTTTAAAAAATATACAAATTCCCGGTTTTGTCAAAGTGAGACACATCGTACAGTTTTGATGCGCCCGAAATTTATGTTTAGTTTAGCCGTCACTTGGACTCCAACATGCCCTGATTTAGTGCTAAATTTAAAAGACGCCAGCAGAGCCCACAGGCAACGATCGCCGAGTGGAAAACAGCAAGCAGCAAGCAGCAAGCGGTAGGCGACAAGGGAGGAGAGAAGCAAAAATAGTTTTTCACTCGAAAATATTTTCACTGCACGGCATGGGACATTTCCATGGCAGACGCGATGCGGCACGTTGAATCTTCATTGGCGATGCGTTGCAACGCTCCTGGGGTGCAACCTTATGCAGTGAAAGTGTTATAAATAGCTGAGCACAGAGCCGTGCCCATTGGCTTCTGGCTGCCGTCTTCCGACTGACTCATCTGTAGAAATATGCGCGGCGCGCTCATATTTTGAACTGCAGGCCAACGACCTAAGCACTAAGCACTACTAAATTAACGCCACAGACGCCAGCTGTTGCAGCCACAGAAGACATCATTAACTTGCAGCAAGCACCACATCCACATGCAACAGTCTGGCAGCAGCTCAAGCATGGCCAAAAGTCAAGTTGAGGCGCGAGCTCGATTTTCTAAGCTCATTCCCATTCCCATTCCAATTCCCAGTCCATGCCCAAAACTATCGGGAGTCAATAATATTTAATGAACACCCAGAAATAGTTAAACCTCGCCCGTGTTTATTGCGGAAGCGGGCCGCGAATGTTTTGCTGCGTTTAACACGCGGTTTTGGGGGCTCGTTAATTGTCATTTGAAGATCTGTAACTACAAGAAATTAGCGACTGTAGAGTCGAGTCTAATGGAATGACATAGGAAACAAGCCTCAAGAATGCGAGGGCGCTATTATTGGTAGTCTGCATTCAAGCGCAACGACTGCGATGGCTCGATTCTATTCTATTCCACCATACTTAAAGGCCACGCCAAAAATAAATACGACAACAACAAGAACAAAAGCAAGAATAACAAAAGCACATTGGGGCACATGGCACATGGAGCAGAGACAGACGCTTGGCAAGGGCCCAGCAACAAGCAGAAGTCACAAAAGTCACAGACTGCGAGAGCGCGGAAATAATAAAAATGTTAGCGCGTGAAGTGGCCTACCACGCCCCATTCACTCCCTCCCCCATCCCCACCCCCTTACCACACACCTAGTGCTGTCTGTGTTGTTTCCCTTTGCCACTTGAACTTGACGTGCGCCCCAAACAAACGGGACGAGGACGCTGGCGGTGCCGGTGGCAGTGGCAGTGTCGGGCCAGCTGCCTTTGTTTATTTGAAAAGTCACAACTATGGGTACATGGGTATGAATCCAATCTGTGCACACACTCCTCCCCTCTACCGCCCGCCCTGCCCCCATCGCATTGCCGCACTTCCACTTCCACTTCCCGCAAGATCATCAAATTTAATTGGAGTGTGGCTGCCGCTGCAATTATGAGCCACTGCATCAAAAATAACATCAACAATGAAGTGCAGTTTATGCCGAGCAAACAAACAAATACAACAACTACAAAAACATACTACGAGTATATACAAAAACAAAAAGTAAATTAGCACACAAAACTGTTGAAGTGAAAAGTCGTTTTTCCACATCTACCTCTCTTCGGCTTCTTCTGATGGCTCCGTCACAGTCGCAGTCGCAGTCACAGTCGACTCCGCTGTCCGTGCTCCGTCCACTTTACTTTCAACTAATTTTTCATGTTTCTTATTTTCTAAAATTTTCATTTTTATAATTCCGTGTAATGGAGGTAAATGGCTTGGCCTGCAGCTGAAGACATACGGCTTTCATGAAAGCCAAATCACATTAATGGGCCCCGAGCCGAATTAGAATGCTGGCCCACTTAGCTTACAAATGGGATGCCATAGAAAAAATTCCAACCAAATATGAGTCCTGCATTGTGCTTTCTTCTGATGACTCACAGGAAACCCATAATACGTTTTAATAGAACTATGAACTATAGTATAATATTATATAACTTTTAAGTTCGACTTCGTGTTTCAATGTATGAGCTTATCAGCAATATTTCTATTATTTCATTTTACACATAAAATTGATTATCCGGTCTTCCCTGAAGAGATCGAACTGAGATGCACTGAAAGGTAGATTCTTAGTCTATACTATAATATTAATACTGGATATGCATAGACCGATATCCGACAAAAGCTTTCAACAATTTTCATTTTTTCCAAGAAACTCTTACTACAGCTACGTGCTTCATATTTTAACAAAAGTTAGGATAATAACTATGCAAATGACATTCAAAATTAAGCCTAATACCAAATTTGAAATGAGAATTAAATTCGATGATAAATTAGAAGTATTGCACAGTTTGGTTGTTGAACCAATCACCCAATAAAGCCAACAGAAAATTGTTTGTACCATAATTTGTATGCTAAAAAAGTGCTAACATATTTGTAAGTTTACTCTATTCGAATGCATTCTAAGGAGAAGAGAAGCGGATTTTAGAAATGAATTTGCTCTATTCTGGGACTCTCTTCAGACATTAATTGCACAAAAAGGGGCACCAAATGTTTTTAAAATTGTAATCAGTTTCAAAATATCGACTGAAATCGCTTGAAATTTATCTGTCAATCAATTTATCTATCAACCCATTAATGAGTCAGCCAAGACAAGTTACAAGTATACTTAGTATAGTATAGTTATATATTTTACAGAAGAAGGTGTGCATGTGGGGAGTAAATACCATTTTAGATAGCGACATGGGCACATCTAATTAAAAGATACATTTTTATTTTTCCGACAAACTATCTATTACTGCGGCTTCTGCTGTCTAGATTGAAAAAAAAAAACTCCCAGACTTTCCATGAAATGTAATTTTCTTTTCCTGTCTAGGCTTGTTTCATTTTCTGCATTCCCTCCATTTCCCACCCGACAACACAGCTGAGTGCAGAGAATTCAGTTAAAGCTCAAAATAGTAATTAATTTTGAAAGCGACGCTTCTACGCCCCCTGTCAAGCCTTCCTCCCCCGTGGCATGCCCCATGAATGTGCAATTGAACTGAAGACGCCATCATTAAGTGTTGCATGTTTGTTTCTTCTACGAGTAGCCACAGTCTGCTGCCTCTTTCGCTTTGGGAAGGCGGCTGGCCGACAGAAATCAGAAAACAGAAATCACTCGGGCATGAACTTTGATAGCTTCAAACCAGACCAGCAAAACTCTGATTCAGGTCGATTGGCCATACCAAGCAAAGGCTTAGTATTTAAAATACTTTCACACGAAACGAAACAGTAGCCTCCCAGCGACGACATTTTGTTGCTACGAGCAAAGGGAACCCTGTAAGAGACTGACAGATGCCTGTTTATTGTAATTTTTGTTCTTATCCAGTGCTTTGTTGCTGGTGTCAAAGCAGGCGCCGCAATCTGTGAAAATACTTGTAAATCTCAGACATAACGCATACGAATATTGTAAGGGGCCCTTGACTTCTGCTGGCCGCTATCGGCTATATACTCGAACTCATATGCATATTATATACTTATAAGCAGAACTGTGGTGTAAATGCACTTATCGTCGTGGCTCTCGTATGGAAACGGAAACAGACAGGAGGCATTTGCATGCGCCCCCACCCTGTAATTAAACACCACACCGCAATGCTCGCGCCCGCATACGACGCCTATAGGCCGGCAAGGGCTTGGCCAACCCAGTCCAACCCAGAGCTGACTCACTTCCCTTCTGCACTTGTGCGGATTGCGCTCTAAGGTAGCACTAGCCAGTAAGCTTTATTATTTTTTGGCATATGCTCGTCGCATTTTGAATTGTCCACTCAGCTGTTTTGAGCAAATCGCTCCAAAACTCAAATTACAGACTCGAATTACCGGCCGGGTCGGCCGCTCACTCGTTCTCGTATTCTATGAACAAACAGTCGCTGAAGCAGTCATCGGCTTTGTCGTCATAGTCTCTCTGGGCAGACTTTAGACTCATTCATGGGCAACTATTTCAGTTTTAGCCGCAATTGCTACATTAAACGCATTACGATGCCATATTTCTGGGAAGTGCTAAATTAGTTCAACACCTGAACCGTGCCGCCCCATCTCTTTCCCATTACCCATACTCGACAAAACGAGTATAGCGAGCAAGCACATTAATTGAGTCAGAGAATGAATCAAAAAGCAACTTTTGCTTATCTTTGCGTTTGTTTGGCTGCCTGGGTTTTAATTCTCTTTATAATTTAATCACGGCTTGTTTGCTTTTTATCAACAATTGAAAAATAAGCATAACCGTGGTGTGCGTCTCTGTGTGTGAGTATCTGTGTGTGTGTATGTGTGTGAATGGCGCTTGTGACACAAATTTGCTGAGCTTCGAAATAAATCACAAAAATCATTGACATTGATTTTAATGCTCGGATGCCTCAATGCTTTCCAAACTGGTATTGCCAAAAATTGCAACAAAACATGCATTCAGCAACAACCAACAACAACAAAAAAGTGGCCGTTCAGGCCTAAAAATCGCAACGCTTCAGGCGCTTTGGTGCACGTCTGCTGGGGCCTGGCCTGGCCTGGCCAGCAGCTCTCTGATTGCATTCGTTCGAGGCTCATTTGCAGTTTTGCGCTTCTCGCCTCAGGGCATGTGCATTTTGTGGATAGAATAGAACCGAGCTCAATTGCAGGAGACCTAACAGTGTTCTTCAACTAATTCTTCCACCATACAGAAAGAAACTTGATAAATCGAAAAGTCGATACGAGTTCCATTAATTTGCAACAAAAACATTGCACTTAATTAGAAGAGGTGCTAATAAAATGATCATATACTTGTATATGGTGCTGTCTTTGATTGCAAATGAAACTAAAGAAGCAAAGTGATTTTTGAGCTTCAATTTTCAAAAGGGAAAACAGAACTGTGTAAGAATCAGGATATTAAGACAAATGCCAGAATTATACAAATTAATCCACAAAGAAAGCAAGTAAGAGTATGTACGAGAATTATATGTGAAGTCTCAAGACATGATTAAAATTAGGGAACCTTGTTAAGGCTTAGGGCATTTAATTAGTCTCTCAGCCCAGCACTAATAGTTTCTTAGCTTGTTACTTATTTTGTTTTCTCGACATCGGATTTTTTTGTGAGTTTTTGTTTTATTATTATTTTGTCGTTAATTTTCTTTTGCTTTAATTGCTGAATGCGCTTAAAAAAAGCAGCAACTGCGACTGCGCAGCGACGACGGCATTGTTCGCTTTTAAGTTACTTGGCAGGCGTTTTTGGAAATTCATTGAAAAACATTTTCGGTCATTGTGCATAAATTAACGAAAACGCATTCAGCAAAAACAAAAAGACTCTAGCAACAACAAAACTACTTACCTTAGCCCCAATTTGGTTGCCGCACTGTCCGGCCTGCAAGTGCACAATTTCTCTCATGTTGGATATGAAAGGCTGTTGATTTATTTGTGACGCAAATCAATTTGTCAAGTCTGGACCTTAACAGCCTCGGACTGCAGATTGTATACTCGTAGTAGTTGTCGTGAGTGTATGGTGGTCCTCTAAGATGCTGACGGATTCAGACTCTGACGATGACTGTGTCTTTCTTTCTCCTGCTTACTACTATCTGCTATCTGCTATCTGACCGAGCAACGCGCAACTTTACCGCACAACGAACAAAACTCAACTGATCGCAAAGAGTGGCACCGACAACGACGAAGACGACGAAGACGACGACGACGACGACTGACTGCGCAGTCGGCAAATGATTCTAGCGAGTGACTCGAGTGGTGGAGTCAGCGAGCGGTGGTGTGGCGATCACACTCACACATACACTCACTCGCACAGTGGGCCGCACGCAAGATTGGGGCGAGCTGTAGTTGTAAGCAGCTTTTTATTATGGCAGCTTCAATCACTTGGTAACACGAATACGACAGGCCAGAAGTCAAAACAAGAAACACATACTCGTACATACTCGTACTCGTATGCAGTCTATTTTCATTCTATTTTATGTACAATTCTTCTTCTTCTTCCGTGCATGTATATTAAGCTGTCTGCTGTTCCCACCTCGCTTCTATTTGTATCCTCTCCTGTCCAGCCAGTCCTGTGCCGCTCCACTCGTAAGTTCACACATTTTCCCGCTGTCAGCTGCCATGTGCGGCCCAAGACTCGCATTCTAATTTTAACACTAATTTTAACATCTAGATGCGCACAGGTATATGAAACTTTGTACATAGGTAACGATATACTATGCGGGCCATTCGATTAAGTTCAATATAATCATTTGTATACCCTTTACTGAAAATTGAACGCATTTGGTGTAATACTTGTACATAAATATGTATATTCTTCAAAGAGCATTAAAAGAATTTTGGTTCTGATGGTGCCAACGGGACTCCTATTTCTCCGATTTACCTTTGGCAAGGCTTTTCAACGGTCTTTCATTCGGTCATGAGTTGCAAATCTATTATCTTCTGTATTTACTACCAAATCTTGCACTGCAATAAATATTTCCACGTTCGAAACTATCGCCAGTTGCAAAGACAACGATCTCTATTTCAAGTTCGGTTTCAAGAAAATAGTCTTTAGTTTTATCTAAGCATAAGCTTCTGCTCAATAACCCTTAAACTGAAGAAGTAGGGATATCAAAAAACTACCGACAAATAAACAGTCGAGCATCACGATTACGATTTTGTTCATCACTCTGAAAAGTTTTAATGGGTTGACGAAATAACATTGAACCACATTAAATCAATAAATTTTTTTTTTTATCTCTTTTTCTTAACTAACTGATCCGAATGAAAGGTGTATGGTTGCGCTTTTCTTTTCCTTAAATCAAATTTTGGAGTCTGTTATTGCGATTGGGATTCTACAGCAATAAATTCTACAGCGCAGCAAATTATTTTGAAATCTGAGTAATTAAGCAGCTCTGATTATAAGTTTATTTTGATCTCGAAACCACACGGGATTGTCGCCCTTTCTTATACTGAAATTACTTTCAACCATACATATATACATACCATAGACAAATTGAAAATTCCAGATCTTACATTTTCCATTCTCATCCGGAAAATAAGTTTCCAAGACTAAACAAGAAAAGAATGCTAAAGTCGAGCAAGCTCAACTCTTAAATACCTTGTACCTCCCACCAAAACAGAAAAAATGAAAAAGAAAATTTTTTTAATAATTAAAAAAAATTATATTAATTAAATTACTTAATTATATTAAAGACATGTTCAGAAAGGAATGCTAAAGTCGAGCAGGCTCAACTCTTAAATACCCACAAAAAAGTAATTTAATTAATTAATTAATTTACTTAATTAATTTAATTAATTAACTAAATTAAATATAAAATATTCCATGCATGCATAGATACATTTACATTTACATCAGAATCGTGCCTTATGCGTGTTTGTGTACTTGTACATATGTATGTATGTGTGCATTGGGCCTGGTTATATGGCTATAACATTCTTTCCGATCATTCTATCATAATGAAACTTGGTATACGGATATACAATTACCTAAAATTAACCTAATATGACTACCAAATTTTAGTTCAAAATTCCAACTACGGGAGTTATAGAAAATCGTTAATAGGGGGGGAGTGGGGGCGTGGATCAGAAAAAATGAACAATCTCGTCCTTTCTCGGTCTCAGGAGAATATACCAAGTTTGGTTATTCTAGCTCTTATTCTTTCGGAGATCCTTGCGTTCATACAAACAGGCAGACATACGGACAGACGGGCATGGCTATATCGACTCGGCTTGTCATGCTGATCAAGAATATATATTCTTTGTGGGGTCTACCAAGTCTCCTTCTGTGTGTTCCATGTGCACTCGCACAAAACTAATATATCCTTGTACCCTTTGGGTACAGGGTATAAAAATAAACTTGACCTGCCTAGGGCTTATGGGTATCTGGATACGAAGTTTGGTTATTCTAGCTCTTGTACCTTCTGAGATCCTTGCGCTCATACAGACGGACGGACGGACATGGCTATATCGACTCGGCTGGCCACCCTGATCAAGAATATATATACTTTGTGGGGTCTGCCACGCCTGCTTCTGTGTGTTACATACATTCGCACAAAACTAGTATAGCCTTTCACCCTTTGGGTACAGGCTATAAAAATTAAAATAATTTCTAAAGCGATACAGATATAGGATAAAGCCCTAATATTGACAAAGCCATTTCAATTCGAGTTACTGATATGCCTCAGAATTGTAATATTCTCACAAAATGACTTTAAAATGTAATTATACTTTCAATTATAGATTACAGATTGTATAAGAAACATCACTCACAATTGTTTATTCTGTGCGGCCATAATGGATGAATTGAATTTAGGGAACATCGTATAATATTTTATAGGAAAGACAAGAAAGTTGAATACAATTCTGTGGCACGAACTGTTTACACTGCAATCGTAGGTAAATGTGTGTGTGTGTGTGTGTGTGTGTGTGTGTGAGTGCGTGCGAATGCATATGGTACTAGTGTGTGTGCGTGGTGCACTTCCACAAAAGTGTCACCGTAGTCATTAGAAATCAGTACGTCTGCGTGTTTTAATACCCTCATCCCACAGTGTAGAAGGGTATATTACTTAAGTACAAGTGTATGTAACACACAGAAGGAGCCATGACAATCCTCACCAATTGTTATATTTTTGAAAAGTATGTTTTTTGTGTGTATCAGAGAAAGGATCTCGGAGTGTATAGGCGCTAGAATAGCCAAATTTGGTACTCAGATTCCTCCAAGCCCTATGATTGTGTTTCTCTTTTTCGATTGTTCTGCTGCGGTTCACCTCTATCGGTATGTAACTAATTTTAATTTAAGCTAGTATTCCCTTTTGTAAACAAATCATTGTTACTCAAATCAAATTAATGTTGTATTGGACATTGTGCAATAAATTATAAATCACTTAAATTAAGAATAATTATACATACTAAAAATACTAGGTTAAATTGATGTCAAAAAATGAGAGCTGCCTAAAAATAAACGATAAATGTGTGACAAAACTTAAATAAAGTATGTATAAAATAACCAAACACACAAAGAACCCATAAGACCAAAGCTTTTTATTCACCCTTACACTTTTATAGTTTGGGTAAAGGGCTTTCAAGAGGCGGGGTCGCATCAGTTTAGCAATTTATTCTACTTTTTTCATATGTTTTCCGCTTCTAATGTGCATTTAGCTTCAACTAGAAGAATATATTTTTGGACCTACTTCACAAGTTTAGCGCAACTTCTCGAGTTCTGTTCCGCCGACTTTTCGTCTGCATCTGCATCGCTTTTCTTGGGAAATCAATCAATTCGGTTAATGCAACTATGTAGAGACAATTTGTAGGCATTTTGTTTGCTTTCCACTTTCTAATTGTATTCAAGTTGAAAGGCAAATGGACGTTCTTGTTGGCAGCTGAGTGGATAGAGAGCCTTTACGCAATTTCAAGTGCTTGCCGGCCCCTTTTGGGACTATTTTAAATGTTGCTCTCTGGCAGTCAAGCCACAAAATCGCTTTAATTAAACTCACACAAAGCATTTCTGTAGGCACATACGAGTAAGCACATATATACACGTACAAATATTTTAATGTTTGTTTTACTACATTTAAAATTGCCGCAAAATAATCTCAAATATACGACGCATGAATAGTTATAAAATGTTTTACATTTATTTTCCCACAACAACTACAACAAGCGCAAACATTGCTGACACATTAGGTTTGTCAGCCTCACATCAGATAAGCAGTAAGAAAGAGAGCGAAAGAGGCGCAGTCAAAGAGGATCTGACAATTTCGTCCTGAGCCTACTACAGAAGTTAAAAATAACTAAAATGCATATATCAGGAAGACTTCAACTTTGGTGGGTAATCAAAAAAACATAATTTTCCACCTTTGTTTTTTAATGTTAAAAAGTTCCATTACCCGGAATTAGTCTTTGGCTTTCATTACAAGAAAAGCGTCGCAACTTCACACAAATCATCGAAGAATGCAGATTCTATAAAAAATATAGAAATTGGCATTACGGCTACCAAAATTTAACTTTGCGATCCTATATGACCAAAATGATGATTAGCTGCAGATATTTTCATTACAATTTCAAGGTGCATTTGAATAAATAAAATGGGGTTTTAGTTTGTTCTTCTTCCCATATTTAGTGTCAATGCACCACAGTGTTGAAGATGCTTTATCAAAGGGGAAATATATTGCGATATTTCCTATTCCGGCATAATTATGAACATTTATCGTAGCAGAATTCACAAAAGTACCAGAAGAGTCAGCGCAGACGTGTAAAGATTATTTTCCCGGAAATGAAATTGAGGCGTTTCCAGCCAGTCTCATCTCTCTAATCAACAGAAGCAGCTGTAATAAATGTTCAGGTCAGAACGCCTACAAGGAGATAAGAGCCTGATTCAAATATGTTCAGGGATTCGGTTGTCCCTCTGCGATTAATAAGTGATGCTTCGGAATTTTCGTCTGTAATCTATTGTCACCCGACTGTAAGTAATATTAACTATCAAAAATACATATATACATAAGTCCAATGTTGGTTGAAATCAAGAAAGGAAAAACAATTATTTTCCTTACTAGTCCTTAACGAATTAAAAATTAAAAGGGACTTTCTAAATCTGGATGATTCATTAATTGATTTGCAAAATGTAGAATATGACTTT